GGGGGGGGGGGGGAAGGGTTTATTTTGCCTACATACTTTGTACTAAAAGTTGTCCTTCTTTCTCACATCAGAAGATGGTTAAGGATTAAAGGGTAATTCCACTCTCCTATGTGAGTTTGGTAAAATGGAATTACCCCCTCCAATCTTGCCTCCTCTCCCACCACCACCACCAGCTACACTTACCTCTCAGCAAACACTCCTTCCCCTTCGCCAGTGCAGGTGTACTATCTGTTACCCCGTACTGCCGTATAGTGCAGCCACGCGCTATGTGTTTTAAATTTCACTCTCAAATGGCGAGCACTCATTGGTCAGCACAGTCACCTGACCGTGCTGACCAATGAGAAGCACTTCTGACTTCTTGCTCACTGCTCACCATTTGCGTGCAAAATTCAAAATCCAGATTTCAGGGCAGCGTTATATAGAAGTAAGGGGCACAGATAGTACACCAGCACTGGCAGAGGGGAAGGAGAATTCAGTTCACCAAAAGGTAAGTTAAAGGAGAACTATCGGGTCAGGGCTTTTCCCCATAGTTCTCCGTAGGGAAACGGGAGGACACAAACTAGCGTCCTCCCATCACCCTAAGCTCAGTATACCGTGAGCTACAGCTCTCTATATATTGAGACGCCGCAGCTGAAACGGATCCCGACAATTCTGTCTGGATCCGCCCAGCTGCGTGACTGACAGCTGGCTCTGCCTATCTAGAGGCAGAGCCAGCTGTACCCGCCCCCGCCCGATCTGCCAGTCAGCGCTGGAGGATCGGAGCAGAGAGCGGGGAATCCAGTCCCTTCCCTGTCATGGATCTCTGCCGTGACAAGATCGAGAAGGGATTGGAAAAATTTAACTTTTATTAGCAAATTGGATGTGCGGGTCTTGGTCATTTGTCGGTAAGGAAGCACTGCATTGTCCTATTCCAGTTTTCTTACCAACAGATAACCCGAAAAGTAAAAAAACAAATGCACAGATACCAAGTACAGTACTCGGCCCAAGTACCGATACTTTTCGAGCTCCAAGACTAGACTAGAGAAAAATTCTAAAGTTAGGAGGCGGCTGTCATGTGTGAGGAGCACACGTAGCTCCCGGGATTTGTACATCTCTGTTATAATGTACGATTTTGTTTTTATAAATATAAATGAAGGGATGCACCGATACCAGTTTTGCGAGTACGAGTACTGGTACCTGCCGAGTACTTACAAGTACGAGTACTGATACATTTTTGTTTATTGTCATGTGACAGTTTTTCTAAAACAATACAGACAAATTATTTCAGGGCAGCGGTGGAGCGCCAGAGCCCGGTCCCAGCTGCAACCTCTGCAACCCCGGTAGTTCTCATGAAAATGCCAAGTATCGGCACTGGTACTCGAAAAGTATCTGTGCATCCCTACTTGACATGTTTGGTATCTAGTTACTCGATGCAACCTCATATTTTACCTAACAGTTGGGTATTATGTTGTGTTTTGATAGTTGCCTTAATACTAGAAATACACCAATACCGTTGTTTTATATCGAGTACTAGTACCAATATTTTTTTATCATTACTCACAAATACCCAGTACCGTCATCCCAACGTAGCGTGGGCTCGGCTTCTTGATTGCCTGAGAGGCCGGTATTCTGTCGACAGAACACCAATGCGAGGAAGCCTGATCAATCAGGAAGTCTGCAGCCCGGCTTCCTGATTGGTCAGCAAACCAGGTTGCCTCACAGTGTCACTAGGCAGCGTGAAGCCGGCTTCCTAGCCAATCAGGAAGCCAGGAGGCGGGTCATGAACCGCTGCCTGGCTTCCTGATTGGCTGGGAAGCCGACTTCATGCTCCCTTGCAGCACTGCTGGTCAGAGGGAATCTCCCTCTGACTGGCTGTTCCGTTATCAGAGCATTTGCTCAGTATCGGCACTCATAACGATACCAGTTTTCCAACTACGAGTACTGATACATTTGTGTTTATTGTCATGTGACAGTTTTTCCAAAACAATACAGACTGATGATTTCAGGACAGTGGTGGAGCGCCAGAGCCCGGTCCCAGCTGTAACCGCTGCCACCCTGGGAGTTCTCAGGAAAATGTTAAGTATCGGCACTGGTACCTGAACTGGTATCTGGACATCCCTAAAAATAACAATAATCAAAAAAGGCAAAAAACAGGAGGAGGTCCAGGACGTTGTCGATGCCAAGCCAGATGCCAAAGTGGGTAGTCTATTGAACCAGGTCAGGGAACACTGAGAGCGGGATGAATGGAAACAATAGCCGGAGTCAGGAAATCAGTCAGCCAGAGCCAGGGTCATACACAGAGAACAGGAACAACAGCAGAGCACTTGGTAGGTCTGCACACATGCAAAGGCGGAGACTGAAGGAACAAGCTGCTGGTTAAAAAGTGACCTGGTGTTGTATCATCACTCTGAGACAGGAAGTGCCAGGAGTTTTGCCAAATTATGCCAGTAGTTACAGAATGATGTTTACAGGTTTGGTCATAAGAGGGCGCCATAGAGGAACAAAAAGTGTCAGACACACTGCGACAGCAGATAGGCTGCAAGCAGCAAATGAATAGGAATCTCCGGCACTCAGTAAAAAATGTCAAATGATAAAGTCCATTTAATCGGACAGATCGCCATGTTGCAATAATTATATTGTTGCCCTTCATTAGGGCAACAATGTAACACACCTAAGGCTGCAAGCAAGGACAAGGAAGGGTAAGAACGCCTGACACTTCCTCCACGTTGAGACCCCCCCCCGCATCCTCACCCCCCCCCCCCCCCCTAGGGCTTTACTCCAATCCATTCATCATATCCAAGCCTAAAGGGACATATGTGCAGTCTTGCTTCTCAAAGCTCTTAATATCTTTATTCAGATCCAAAACTTTTGGATGGAATCTACCAAATCTGTCATCACTTCCCTTCACCTGGGAGTTGTTCTGGCTTCTGTGGACATCAAAGATACTTACATGTGCCCATTCTAATGGGGAGGGGGCTACATTGGTGGCAGTTCAGATACTTCATAGAGCGAGATGGGAGTCTCCCCAATCACATGGAGGTTTCTTTGGTAATCTGACATATGGTTTCTCATCCCTTAAATGTGAATTCCGGGCAAACAGCTAAACACATGTATGGAGCTATTTATATGCTAATTTGTCTCCATCCAGTCCTGAGATTTACACAGCTCTGCCACACAGCACAGCTCTGGCAGACCGGATTTTTCAAATGGATGGGGAGTTCATGGACTGGCAGTGTGAACGAGCACTTCATGAATACAGAGCTGCTTTGTGTCTTTATAGCTGCCTGTGGGTCTATGTACATATGCTTGCATCCAAGATTCGCACAACTTTCATCCAGGATTCACACATTTTTTAAAAAAAATTGTAGTCACTGGTAAAAATATCCAAATCCAGAGTTTAAACTTTGTAATAAGCTGCTGACAGGTGCAATCTGGTGGGGGAGGGGACCCCATTGAAAGCTTTGTGACAGATGAAGGTTGTCACTATGACTAAAAGGGGGGGGCACCCAGAGTGGGATGTTTAGTTGTCAGCAGGCCTGTCCTGTTGGGTTTAGTACGGGGAAGCTGTGATGTACTGAGAGGGGTGCAGGGGAATGGAGGGCTGAGTGCCAGCAAGAGGCAGCAGGTGAAGCTCCTCGGAGCCAGAAGCCGCATTGCATGTACAGGATCGGCCAATAGAGCTGGGAAGCGTGGGAATCGTACTGATAAGCTACATCATCATTTCCGGCGCGGATTTGTGACGTCAACGGAAGTGCCACTCTGTCTCTTTGGCTCTTGCGACGATCAGTCAGCAGGGTTGCTCGCATCCTCTGGCCCCGCCCGCAGGTGACGTCACGGCATAGTCTCTGGTTGAAGCGGTAGCAAGATGTCCGTCGTAGAGATGTTCGCCCAACTGCAGAGCGGCCTGAGCGCCGACCAGGACATCCGAGAGGTGACCCCCGGACACCCGGCGGGGACGATAAGACAGGCTGGATGGGGGTACTGGGGAGGAGATGAAGGGTTAGGGCGCAGGAGGTGAAT